GATGCGTATCAGAGGGCTCCGGCTAGCCGGCTAACTGACCCTCACCGAAAATTTCCTTCTCCCCATCCCAAAACTGCAAAAAATCCTTCACCCCCAAATCGAATAACCTAATTCGACGACCCTTCCCTCCCCCATCTCCCCGATTCCACGCCGTGCCTCACCGCCGACTCCACCCAGTTCGCCTGCGAACCTCCTCCGTCTTTGCATTCGTCGTCGTCGCCCCGCCGCCTCCACCCTCGTCGCCCCGCCGCCTACACCAGAGAAGAAGAAGAGGTTTGGTCTGCGTAAAAGAGAGAGGAGAGAAGAGGAAGAAGATAAGGAAAGTTTTAATTTTTTTTCTTTGTTTCTGGGTAAAAGAGAGAGGAGAGGAGAGAAGAAGAAGTTTGTTTATGCGTATAAGAGAGAGGAGAGAAGAGGAAGAAGATAAGGTAAGTGTGGCTAGGATTTTCTTTATTTATTTCTTTCAATTTTTTTATTTAATTTTTTAATCTTATCTAACAAGAGGTCGGTTACTGGTCGGTTAGGCAGTTAAACCGAACTGGCCTTCACATTTTCGGTTGCCCCCGTTAAATCGCACCTAAACCGAAAACCGGCCGATCGGTTTGCGGCTAACCGGGGCTGTTTGAACGGTCGGTCGTCGGTAGTGATTGGTCATATCTCGTTTAACCGAAAACCGAGATTTCGGTTTTCGGTTAAACCGAAACCGACCGGCTGCCACCCCTAGTTACAACTACCACATAAAGAACTGTATATCGTAGAGGGTGTTGTAATGGTTATGGAAATTGTTTAAATAGAGTTTCCATTTGAAGATTGCAGCAGGCAGTAGAGAGTTGGGTAAAATCAGTTGATAAATAATAAATTTCGTCTATCCTAAATTCCACTAAATATCAGTTGTGTCCAATATATACCATAACTAGTACAATGATTCAATAGAATATATTAGTTTTGATGAAATTATTTGTGACTACGTCTATGAAGTGTCATAAACACTCCCAATAACTCGAGTTGTTGAGAAAAAAATATACTGGATCTTATACCACTCTCTAACATGAAATAATGGACACTTATGCACTCACTGGTATCCATTGGGTTGAGTTTGAATTTTTGTCTTTAAAGTCCAATGAATCTTTTGGGTGCTGAGGTACATGTTGAGCTCAATGAGCATCAAGGTGAAGAGGAAGAACATGAGACATGAAGCGTGTCATCTGATCATGATGATGATGACGGAGACGGAGAGGAGGAGGAAGAAGAAGAAGATGGGGAAGGAGAGCAGTCTAATTATCCTCCCTATTTTTACTTGCAGGGTAATGAAGAGGACGACCGAAGGTGTCCCTGAGCCAATTACTTCATATTCAGATTATCACTACAAAAAACAGGACCTTTGGCGACGAAATTCTGGCGACGACAAAGGAAATCGTCGCAGAAAGTAGCTTTTTGGCGACGGATTTATTTATTTCGTCGCTAAAAGAGCTAACTTTCAGAAAACAAACTATATGGTTGGAGAAACTGTTTTGGCGACGAAGTATAGTTATTACGCGACAAAATTTTCGTCGCTGATACTTTGAGTGCCTTCTGCGACGACACTTTTATCGCTAAAACAATTGTGGTTTTTGCGACGAAACATTTCATCGCTAAATACCTGCTTTATGTGATGACTCATAAATGTCTCATTTTCTATGCACAAAATAACTTGAATAAATTTTTATATAAAAAATAACTTGAATAAATAATTTCTACAAGGGTTTTCACTTTTCAGTTTTACCCGCCGCCCGCTCACTCGCACAAACTAATGTTTTATTTTTGACAATATAAAAAATAAGGTTTAAGGAGAATAAAATAATGTTTTGGAAAAATTCAAATACCATGATGAGGGCCAAGAGTTTGAAACGGCGTCGTGATGTTTGCTAACAAGTTGTTAATAAGTTGGGCCTCTCATGCCTCTATCATAAACCCCACATGTGATAGGGGTGGGCGTTTGGTCGGTTCGGTTTAAACCGAACCGAAATAGTATATGCCGAATTTCTGAATTAGCCTGCACCCCAACCGAATTCGAACCGAGCTATAACTCGGTTCGGTTTGACCGAACCGAGTTATATTCCGGTTCGGTTCGGGTTACCTACCTATTCCGAACTTCCAGACCCCTCCCTCAAATCTCTCTCTGCCATTAATCCGCCTCCCACTCCCATTTTCCTCTGCCCGTCAAACTACTCCCTCCATCTCCCTCTGCTACTTTCCCTCAAATCTTGCTTTCATTAATCCTCCTCCCACCTCCTCCTCTTCCTTCTCTACCGCCGTCCAGAATCACCGTCGACCAACTCTCCCTTCCGCTCCCCCCTCTCTTCTCTTCTCTCCTCTGCGACTTTGACTGCTGCGAGGGTGGAGAGAGATGAGGCGCGCCGCCGTTGCATGCCACCATGGATCTGGAATAGGATGTCCCCGCCGTCCGCCGCAGAAGAGGCGCCCCGCCGTTGCATGTCGCCGCCGCCCGCCGCAGAAGAGGCGCCCCGCCGTTGCATGCCGTCGTGGATCTCAGATAGGGTACCGCCGTAGACAACGACATGGCACAGCCAATATCGTGAACGGCAGGAACAGATCTAGATCCCGCCTTGGTAAATCCATTATGTTTTTGTTTAATTCAAATGTTTTGTATGCTTTTGCCAATCTGTGATTTTTGTTTTTGGTTGGTTTTCTGAGTTTGGTCGGCGATGAGAAGAGAACGGAGAGAGGGGAAGGTGATGGACTCCAGTGGCCGGCGAGAGGCAGCCGTTGGCGGTAGCGCATGTACGGCAGGGGATGGCGAAGGCAACGAGGAAGGACTTTGTAAGAAGAAGAAGATTTTTGGTCTGGGCTAGGGTTTTAGTGGTAGACTTTTTCTAGTGGGCTTGGGTTTGTGGGTTTCTAATTGTTGGTTGTGTGTGTTAGAGTGGGCTTGTAATTGTGGGCTGTGTGTGGAAGCCTGGGAGGGGGATGAATTTCGGTTTGTTCGGTTGGAATTCGGAATTTCGGGTTCGGTCGAGCGACCCTGGTTTCCGAAGTGTAGAGTTTTGCCTTCCGAATTTCGAACCGAGTTACAATAGTTCGGTTTCGGTTCGGTTTTGTTCGGTTTCGGTTCGGTTCGGTTCGGGTTTACCGAACCGGATGCCCACCCCTAACATGTGATGTGATGCAGAGTCCCCCAATTCGAGCCTCTCAAACGCATCAACCCTTTTCCCCAACCCTAACCTTCGCGGCTTCACATGGCCATAGCATCGCCGCCGCCCTGGCCCTTCGATCTCTATCGCGGGTCTGGTTTCTTCCTCGAGTAGAAATATGTAATCTGTTCTTCTTCTAAAACTTCAATTCCTTGCAGACTCAAAAAGCATCTCTCGCCGGATTCAGAAAATCGAGGCCTGGAAATGCAGTCAAACGAGGGTTTGATATGAAGGTGTTGCCGAAAGAACCATTGGTCTTAGAGATAACGATGGAAGATTCGGTCGAGATGGGTGGGATTCTATTTGGATTCTTGATGAGGTACGAGAATGGTAGTTCGCTTCTCCCGCCTTTGAATTGAAGAGCATCCGTTGTTGCGGCCACCACAACTTTAGGTCCCTTTTTTCCCAATGATTCTCAGACCCAATCGCCTTGATTTGTAGATTCGTCCAGGTCGGCATATCTTCTCAGCTTCCTTGTAGTTTCAATTGATGCTTGGCCGGGTCAATGGTAGAAATCACAGCCAACATCCAACTGTTCAGGTCATCTTCTGTTCTTGATTTTATCTGCTTAGCATAGCTTGGTGAAAGTTCTCCTGTGTGAGTACCTAAGTTGATGTTTTCGTGAGAGAGAGTGGACAAGTTTGAACTAAAATATTGTTAGTTTTTATTTAAGTACTCCGTGGGAAGATCATCCAAACACCCAATGCATCTCTGTTCTTCATGCCTTTCCTTATTTTTTGTTCTCCTCTTTCACATTTTAGTTTAACTCCTTATATAATAACCCTTTTCGAAAGTTTGACCTCTTTCTTTCTGGCGCTTAACTTAAAATCGTCAAAGGACTAGGACAACAGTGACCCTGTGAGTTTTCTAGCAGAGTTGCAATGAAGTAATCTCCTATTTCAGCTTTCGTAGTCACTAAAGTGGAGCATCAGAGGAAGATCTGCCTGTGGGTTCGCACCAGAGGTAGAATGACAACTTGGAAAAGGATGAGTCGAGGAACCAGGTACTTTTGACTGGGGTTCTTTAAGCATTTATGTTCTAGGTGTGAACTTGATTAGATTAGGGATTTTTGTTTAATTTGTTTATCTTAGAATAGTAGTCATTGAAAGACAGATGGTCAAATGAAGAAGAGGAATTGGAAGATGCGATTTTGAGCTTTGTGTTGGTTTTTTGTCCTCTATTCGATTAAATATCTAGTCTATTACTCTACAATTTCTAAGTAGAACCATTTTTTGCTTTGCATGTAAAGCATGGACTAGAACTATTTCATGGAAGGGAGATGGCTGAAGAGAGAAAGGATGAAGGTAAACGTGATAAACAATGGTTTGGGAGCAGCTCAATGGAGGGACAAGAGTAAAAGATGCCACGAAGGGAAAGTTAGAAAGATTTTATTGGGGGGTTAATTGCATGGTTGGTCACTGAGATTGCAAAAAACATTCAAGTTTGGTCACTCAAAATATTTAAATCCATTAGTGGTACTTCAGTTTACTGAAACCGTTCATGTTTGGTCACTCTCCGTCCAACTCCGTTAACTTTTGCTGATGTGGCAGTCAACTCTAAAAGTTGACCGTTAACTTAGTGACGTGGCAACTAAAAAATTATTAAAAATAAAAAAATAAACTTTTATATTTTCCACCTCATTATTACATTTATTAAAAAATAAAAAAAAACCTAATTTCTTTATTTTTTAGAAATTCATAGCAGCTGATGCTAGTTAGGGAACAAATTCATAGCAGCTGGCATCACTCATAAGTTTTCATGGGATTCAACTGGGGGCAAATTGTGATGAAGCATTTGCTATCTCTCTGAATGCTGCTGCTGCAGGTGTTGGAAGCACTAGATGATTTGAGGAAGAAACAAGAGCCACAACCCGAGGAGGTGCTTCCAGTTGAGAAACTAATTGCAGAAGCCTATTCAGTGATCGACAAAGCTGTGAAAGTCGGGACGCTGCACAGGAACACAGGAGCACGCAGGAAATCACGGCTTGCCAGGACTAAAAAGGCTGTCGAGGTTCATCATGGCTGGTACACTCCTTCCCCTACCCCTGCTGCAGTTGCCAGCTAATGGAGATCTCAGATCTGATTCTGGGTTTTGACATTGAGAGGGAAGGGAAATGAGAAAGTTGTTTTCCTTTTCCTGCTTGTCTGTGTTATTTTTTGTCACTAAAATTTATTTGTAGCCTAATCTACAATTCATTAATCCCAGTTCTAGTACCTTCAGTTAAACCGATGGATTGTGAAACCATATGAGTGATTAAACCAGTGAAGCGAGCGTTAAGGTATAACAGAGTACACCAAAGAGTCCGATTAAAACACCAGCAGCAAATTAATTAAGTTGAGTAACAAAACAAACGAAATGGTCGATTCTCGAACCAGAGAAAAACAATACAATGAAATACATGCAGACAGAGCATAGGAACAAATGATAACAGATTAGATTTGTTCAAGAATCAAAAAATTCTCGAGGGATCAAAAGGTAAAGAAAATAAAATTCTGGGCATCAGTAGCCGGCGGGAGATTTCGACGGTCGCTGTTGCTGAGCATTGGGCTGACCACCGGAGTAAAAGAAAGGGCCGATAGGGTAAAGCTTGACGTGCTTGTCATGGAGAATTTTGTACGAAGACAGGGGGGCGCCATTGATGCCCTTGTTCACATCTGTCGGCACACCGCACTTCTCCGACGCCGATTTCTCCAGGAATGCCTTGCATAACTCCGGTTTACCACCATAAGCCCGCAGCGTCTTGAAGAAATACCCCTTTTCGTCAGTTGAGCACAACACCTTGTGCTCTTCCTCCTCGCCCGAGCAAGTTATTCTCACCACAGCTCCTGCATGTCAAACGCAGTCAGAATTCAGAAACGAACAGAACAAAGAAAGTAGGTTTTTTTATTTTTTAATAAAGGTAATAATGTAGTGGAAAATATAAAAGCTTATTTTTTTTTATTTTTAATAATTTTTTAGTTGCCACGTCACTAAGTTAACGGTCAACTTTTAGAGTTGACTGCCACATCAGCAAAAGTTAACGGAGTTGGACGGAGAGTGACTAAACATGAACGGTTTTAGTAAATTGAAGTACCACCAATGGATTTAAATATTTTGAGTGACCAAACTTGAACGTTTTTTGTAATCTCAGTGACCAACCATGCAATTAACCCTTTTATTGGGATTACTCTTTCGACTTGAGAATAGGTATTTTTTATAAACTTTCATTCTGTTTCCTTTTTACTTTAATCTTTAGGGCAAATACAATATATTAGCCATAACTATCAAGCAGCGGGGAATTATAGCCACAACTATCGAAATACAAATTATTAGCCAATCGTTAAGTTTTCGTTAACACTTATGTTAGTAATGATGACTAAACTTTTACGATGGTGAGCTGGCTCCCACGTGGTAGTCATCATATCATATTTTTTACGATGCTGACATGGCCTTCTACGTTAAAAATTTGAAAACAGTAACGGGCTGTTAGGCAAATCTTGACCCACAACAATAGTTATGGCTAATAATTTGTATTTCGATAATTGTGGCTATAATTCCCCGCTACTTAATAGTTATGGATAATATATTGTATTTACCCTAATCTTTACATGGGAAACTATAATGAAAATGAAAACAGAAATGTGGCAGGGGTCTGCAATTTTTGGTCTTCATATGATAACTTTTGGAGGGATTGAGTGGTAGGAAAAGACAAATTGATAGTAGGTGACATATTGGTATGTTGCCATGCTCTTTTATGGAATCAAGCATGAATCAAAGACTTCTGCTCATGAGTTTGATTCTGTAAATTTCAAGAGGATTTAGTTTGAAGATAGTAAGTGCATTGATCTTGAGTTCTGCATTTGTTGGTTCCAGGCCGTTGGTCAAATATGTTACAAATGAAATTCTGGACTTTTCTAGTTGCATATTTGTGCATACCTAAATTATCACAATAACTTGTTACTTTCTTGTTGATTGATTATGTATGCAGATCATCAGCTAAGGTTGGATATTTTTGGCCAAGGAGTATGATGTTGATTTTTTTGAGTATGAACAATTAAAACTTTCATGTTAGTGTAATAGTTTTATGGAGATTGAAAATTTCATGGTTAGTGTATAGATATATTCTTTAAAGTTTTATATGTATGTATTTGTTTACGGCGAAAGGCCTTAGATTTGTTTCTATTTACAGCAGAATGTTGCTGACAGTGTATTGACAAAAGAATAACAAAATTGATTAATATTGAATTTGTATCCCATAAATAAATGACGCTTTAGCGACGCAACTATTCGTCGCCAAAAGTTGTATAACCGTGTCCAAATCAGTGAATTTGGCGATGATAACACCCGTCGCTAAAGGTTCGCGACGAATTATGTCGTTGCGGAAGTAATCTACTTTGCGACGAAAATTTCGTCGCCGAATCATTGCGACGACACATGTTTCGTCGCCAATTCCAGCACTTTGCGACGAATCTATCGTCGCTAAAGCTTCGATCTTCAGCGACGAATGGCATCTTTTGCGACGATGCACTAAAATTCGTCGCAGAAACCTAACCCGACGCGGTATAGGCGACGGACTGAAACCGTCTTCAGCGACGCCATGGTTCGTCGCAGATACATTTGGCGACAGATTTTAGGGTCTTTGGCGACGAATTTTACCGTCGCAAAAAGGCCAGTTTCTTGTAGTGTATGCTGGATGTGTAGACACCAGAAAGTCTACTTTTGGCTATTTGTTCCTTTTAGCCGCAGGGCAATTTTCATGGAAGAGTGCAAAGCAGTCTGTTATTGCCACATCCACTATGGAAGCTGAATTCATAGCTTGTTATGAAGCTACGAATCATGGTTTATGGCTGCGGAATTTTATTTCTGGACTTGGAATTGTCGACACTATTGCTAAGCCGCTGAAAATTTACTGTGATAATTCCGCAGCAGTATTCTTCTCTAAGAATGACAAGTATTCGAAGGGTGCTAAGCATATGGAGGTGAAATACTTTGTCGTTAAAGAAGAAGTTCAGAAACAAAGGGTGTCGATCGAGCATATTAGCACACAGCTTATGATTGCTGATCCATTAACAAAATGATTGCCTCTTAAGACATTTACTGAACATGTCGAAAGGATGGGGATTATAGGACGTCATGACTAAAATTATTTTATATTTCATGGATTGACACTTTGAGCTCATTTATTTTGTTTATGGAATAAAGTTATGAATCTTGTTTTATTTATTATGATCAGTATATATACATTATGCATAATGTGAACAGAACAAGATTTTTGTCTTTAGGGAAGACATTATTGTTGGAGCATTATGAATACCTTGTTATGTGTCATATTGAGCATGAAACTAGTTTTGTGGTACATGGAAGGGACTATGTCGATAAATTGATATAGAACCGCCATGATCCTAATCTAGCTTTCATACTTGATTATGACTTTATGGTGAACCAAATATTATGGATTTATCTTATGATGTGCACACTTATGTTTATTATTAGATATTGTGATATATAATGACACATGGGCCAAGTGGGAGAATGTAAGCCCAATTCCCGTATAGATCACTAGGGAATAATTGTGGCCCAAGTGTAATTATCATTTAATGGTTTAATATATAAGGTAAGTCATATATTGGTTAGGTTAATGAAAGGTAATTTCCTAATATACCCTGATGGTGGGTCTATATAAAGAAATCCTAGGATTGGTCCTCTTTCAACCCATTATATAGAATTTCTTAGCCGTCACAGAAATCTCTAAACCTAAAACCTAAAGGGGTCAAGAGAGAGAAACTCAATTCCGGTGATTACTACTCAAGCCGTCGTTGCTGCTCTCGTCATGGATCGAGATAGATTTTCTTGATCTATTACCGATTTGTGAAATCATCTAATTTTAAGATTCATGCTATTATGTTTTACATCTCAAGAATTATTCATGAATTATCTTTTGTTTACAGAAAATTCATGAATGACCTTAAAATGATTTATCCCGAAGTTTCTGCTACAAAACCAAAACAACTCGTTTCCCTATTTTTTATTATTATTATTATTATTATTTTTTAGATGTTTCCCTCTTTTTCTATTCGTGCCCCTCGTTGAGAAATTAAAAGGCCCCTTCTTGTAATCGGCTCTGTGGGTGGTCCAATAGTGCCCACAATTATCAATTTCGAGGCCTGAATCAGAATGAATAAAAGCCCACTTCTCTTCTACCTTTTCTAGGCCGCAGATCCGTCCGGCCCGCAAAGCTGCTTGGCCAGAGATGAGATGACGATCGCCTTATCAGTGAATGGGTCATCCCACCGCCACGTGTCGGACCCATATCCATAGACCATACTTGTTGTTTCCCATCCTTCGATTTTCAGCAGGAAAATAAAAAAGTAAATTATTATTAATTAAAAAAAAAAGATGAATAAAATAACACCAAGAGAGCAAGAGAAGAAGATAAGCCACTTGTGGAGGCCACAATCACTCTGCTACCAAAACCTCACATTCCTTCCACCTCCCCCCATTAGCCATATCATCATATATCCCCAAAAATCCCCTCACTCATTCCCCAACTCGCAATTACTGCAACAATGGCTTCCCTCCCAATTATGTTTGCTCCGGCTACAGTGAATGTGTTGGCAGCCACCGCGGCCAAAGGAGCCGGCGGGAGCAAAGAAGAGAAGGGCCTGCTGGACTTCATTCTGGGCAGCTTGACCAAAGAGGATCAGTTCTACGAGACCGACCCAATTCTCAAGAAAGTCGAGGGCAAGAGCGGCACCACCAGCAGCGGCGGGACTACTTCCGGCAAGAAAAACTCCGTGGCTGTCCCCCAGAAGAAGAAGAACGGCGGGTTCGGCGGCCTCTTCGCCAAGAAATGAGTTCGCCAGAGAGCAAAAAGGAACATATCATATTGTTAGCTTGTTTTTTGGTTGCTAATCTCTTCCTCCCGTCTGTGTATGTTTCCTTCTCCGTCATAATGATTCATGTTCCTCCTTCACCGTGCATTCTACTGTACCCTTCTATTCCATCTTTCCTGTGCTACGGACTTGGAAACTGATTTCTGGGTATCATCTGTGCGGGTTGATTGCCTCAAACAACATCATAACATT